CGAACCCGAGCTGCAGAGCCGGGGCGGTTGTGAAGTGCCCAGGTCCAGTTAGTGTGGCACGATGTCCGCTCCATCTCAGAGTGGACACAGCAGTGTACGGTGCTTCCAGATGCCTTGATTGAGTCAACCTTCAGAATAAACACGCTAACACAAACCAGAGGACACCAGCGGAAACTTTGTGGAAGTGCATTTATAACAGGAGGCATGTCTTTACCCAAAGGGTTGTGGGAGTATGGAACAAGCTATCCATCCATGCTGTTGAATATCCTGGTTTAATTCAAGAAATAGGCAGATGAGATCCTTGAATCAGTTACCTACCAGACAGACTAGGTGGAATGAATGGCCTTGTCTCGTTAGTGAACTGTTCTTATATTCTAAAGCAAAGACTGCAATATATTAGCAATATGTAGGAATGGGATTTTGCAAGAATTACAATTGTGTAGAAAATTCAGTGAGGAGCAATTTTAAAACTGAGAACAGGAGGCGCTTTTTTACACAAAGGGTTGTGGGAGTATGGAACAGGCTGTCCAGGCTTATGCAATCAGCACAGAGCCAGTGTTCAACCTCTCAGCAGCTTTCCCAGGTATCCCTGCTCACGCAGATCCACAGTCCCCCCTCGGCTCAGAGCCTGTCTTGCCAGCAGTACGCTGCTCGCGAGATCACAGCCTTCCCACCCGGCCTTGGAATTCCGCCCTGAGAACACTTCCCAGCACAGGGCTGCTCCCAGGGATTTGGGAAAAGCGCTGAGGCACACAAGCCAGCTCTGCGTGTCCATAGTCACACCTCATGAGTGGTGAGGCAGGCAGCTGCTGATCAAGAGTGTGTGTGTGCGCGCCTGTGCAGTTATACTCTAATCTAAAGAACCGGCTTCTGGCTTGTTAGAAACTAGTGACATTTTGATGGGGGCTTCTGATCACCTGCCTCAGGAAGGAAGTGACTTTCAGGCAGCTTACCTCAAACAATTGTACATATATACATAGAACAGGAATGTGTGGCTCCACACCAGATTTTTATTGATTGCTTGTGTGCTTAGGTTCAGAAAAATCTGAGTCTACAAATATTAGTCATGAACAGGCAAGTACGCAGCAGTTCTTACTTACTAGTCAGAGCGGGCTGAGTCTGTAAATTAATTGCAGTAAGTTGGCAGTGAAGGCTGAATTCTCGAGGCACTCTCTGGGATGATTCTCACCTTGTGCTGAATGTTGAGAAGGTTTTCGTTCAAGAAGGTTGAAGAAAAACAAAGATCATTGAGATCATTGCTATGATGCACTATGGTGTGTTTGTGTTACAGCAGGGATAAAGCCAGTCAACTAAGACGGAATCAGGGCAAGTAAGACATTCTGGAAAATGCTACCCAGTCTGCCCATTTCTCACCTTTAACCTCTCACCTTTGACCCCCACAGTGCCTCACAGGGCCCCTGATGAATTCCTGCTTCTTGTAGTCTGGGTGCTGTGAGAAAAACTTTATTGCTTTTGTCTGATTTGGATTATTATAACCTTTAGGATTAGGCCAGCCAAACAATATGGGCACAGACCTAAACAGAGGAAGTGGCATTAATCCAGAAACCCAACAGCATAGAGGCCCAGATCTGAATTCACTGCTGAAAGAGTGAGAAAGAGGGGGAGGGAAAAGAATGATTTTCCAGGTTTTTTGACAAAAAAAAAAACGTTCACTAAGTGCACACTTGTGTTTCGTTAAAACCAGCTTTCAGCTCTGTTATGGGCCCGCTGAGAGAGACGCGATCTTTCATTGACTTTCTCCCCCAAACTGAAGTCGCTGCAGGCTGAGGTCACGTGACGGAGACGAGGGGCTCTTTTAACACCGTAGGAGATAATTGAGGTTATTACTGCAGCCTATCATTAACGTTTAGTCACTCGCTTATTTAAAGAATTAGATTGTCAGCCTGCTGTGGTTTCAGCTCCAGGGTACAATGCTGATATTGTTACATAATTACACGCATTGTTTTCCCCCTTAGAAAAACACAGTCCCGCTATGCTGCAGTAATGCACTGAGAGCGGGACTTGCGGCTATGAGCTGTTTCGCCTGAAGCGCGGGGCTCGGAGCTGCTCCGAGCTGCCCGGGTTGTGCCATGGGAAGCCGCGTGTGGGAAAATCTTGTGTACCTGGAGACTTGGCACAGCCGTGCAGTGGGATCAGCCTCTGGCTCGTTCCCAGGGAAAACAGGGACGTCGCCCTGCTGCTGGGCTGAACGGATCACGGCGATCGCACTCAGCCTGTTGCGGGAAAGTCTCTCTTCCCGACGATGGCCGTGGGCGAGTGCCTAGTCGCCACGTTCTGTAATCTGCAGCGTCATTTGGCTGGACCTTAAACCCTTGACTCTGCAGAAAACGCTACCGGAGAGCAGGGGGGATCTTTGATCCTTATCTTCCCCGGGTCGTGCAAGGCGATCGCTGTGCAGTTCAATTATTAATGGAGAGTCCACAGTCCCTGGGGACACGTTCTCTGCTCGCTGCACGGAGTTAATTATTACTGCTGCGGTTCGTCCTCTGGCTCTCTCTGTCCCAGCAGACCGTTAAGCAGGCAGCCGTCTTTAAAAGTGCAGGAAAGAGCCAGTCAATGGTGAAAGATTAATCTCTAGGCAGCAGTGTTAAGTGTTTTGTGTGTGTGTGGCGAACATTCGCGTTTGTAGGAGTGCTTGTAAACGCTCAAGCCAGCCATCAGGCCACTTACAGTAGTCCATTTGGCATTTAGTAGTTAGTTGATCCAAAAAAGCTTTCTAGCCATTTCTTGAAAGAAGCCTCAACAACATGGCTGGGTAGCTTTTTCCACACTTCCACAACTCTTTGGGCAAAGAACGGTTCCCTGTTCTTGGTTTCAGGGATTTGAAATGCTTGTATCTGGACCCCTCATAATCTCCTCTGTTCAAGACCACAACGGTTCCGTTCCCTCAGGTCTGTCGTTGTAGGCCATTCCCTTCAACCTTGCAATGCATCTGCTCTCTGTACTCTGGGCTGTCTCCAGAGCAACAGCGTCTTTTCTATAGCGTGGCGACCACAATGGCGAAAAATATTCATTCAATATAATATCAGGTCTCCTTGTAATCTTCCCGGTTCAGCTCCAGCTTGCTCTCCTGATGAGAGACTCAGGGAATACGAGCAAACCAGGGTTTGTGCATGCATGGTAGTGCTGTTCATTTGAAAGATGTGCGTTTTGACTGCTGTGTTCTAGGAAAGGGGCACCTTGGAACTTACTCACTGTGGCCCAGGGTAGTCCTCCACCAGGCGCACAGGATGTTTCATGGAGTATTGGGGAATCTAGCATGAAGCACAACAGCATGATCTTCAAAAGCTTTTCAGAACATTTCTTGACATTTATCTCATAAAGCAACGGAGCAAACACCTTTGATTGCCTCTTACAATGCAATGTACTGTATACAGACAGGCCCCATTCACAGGATAGGTATCTTGTTTTTTCAGGCTGGTGCTCCACTGTTGTTCTGTTTTTTGTGTGAAGTGGTTACTAGATAATGAGGTGACATCCTATATCTTTCCTACTGGTAAATCCCACAGCCGCTCCTTAAAATCAGCAATTATGTGATGAAAGTGTGTTATAAAAGCATGTTATATTTTCCCGGTATTACTGAGGTGGGGTTTTCAGGCGGGGGATTATGGACATCCTCTGTATAACGTAAACACTGAACTGCTAGTGCTGCTCCACACACAGAACATCAGTTATCTGTCAGCAGAGGCTGTCATCCAAAATATACCGTCCTTTTAATGAGCTCCAAAGTGTTCTCATTCGTGCGGCCTGTAATCCCCTAAAAGGGAATTACTTTAATTGTGTATTACATTACGGCCCCTTTGTAATAAAGTCATGTGAGTACGAGTCAGGACATGGAATGGGCTCCAGTAAGCTGTCAGACAGGTTCATCTCAAAGCCCGCAGTGAGAATATTTCCATTTGTGAAGGAACACAAACTTTACACTCAGGAGATTTTGGTCGGGACTCACTCAACATTGAGCCCTGAGCAGGAGCTGAAAGATAATGGGGGTCTGTGTCCATATATCTCTTTGGGGAGTGTCAGCGGTTTACAACACAGCAAAGCATTTTGACTCTGCTCTTTACAGATATTGGGGTAGGGTTAGTTAACAGGAAAGGAATGTAGAGCTGAGTACACGTTGTTACAGCTGTTTACCATCCTACATCTTAGTACATCACATTACAGCTGAGTGCACCATACTATAGATGATTATACTGATACTACCAATAGGTGCACCATACTACAGCTGAGTGCACCATACTATAGATGATTATACCGATACTACCAATAAGTGCACCATAGTACAGCTGAGTGCACCATATTACAGCTGAGTGCACCATACTATAGATGATTGCACCGTTCTTCAACTGAGTGCACCAAATCTGTAGTAGAATCTATATTGTATTAATAAACAATTATTAGATCTGCTGGGACCTTTGGAAAGGGATTAGAACAGACAATTGTAAAACAGACAATTATAAATTACTTTGTTGCTTCTAAATGAGGTGTATGATTGAATGTACTCCATTACATATTAATACACCAGAGGTACAATAGATACTTTACAGCTCTCCCAACATGTGCAAAGAATCTTGTCATTACCACTAATCTTGGCAATATTGTCCTGTCTTTATGAGTTTCTTTTGAAACATCTCTGCAAATGCAAATTGAAAACTATTAACCGATCGTCAGTTCTGATCAGTTGTTCTGTAATATTCCAGACAGAAGACTACATAGGAACATAAGAAACTTCCCAATGGGAATCGTGCCAATCTAGGTGTTCTACAGTGCCACTGAGTGGTCTATAACCCACTGATTTAATTATAAAGAGGCTACATGTCTAAAGAGCGGGGGCGAAAACTTGCATAGTGAACCTATGTTGATGATGTGTGTGACTGGGCAGTGCACAGCTTTCTGTTCAGCCCTGAAAGAGGAATGATGTCACTGACTCCTGATCAGTAGCCCACTAACTCTGCTAACCCCTGTCCGTCTTCCTCCAGGGCTCTGTTCACGTATGATGGGGCAACGAACAACTTGAAGCTGTCTGACTCTGGAGGTAAGGAATCACTCATTTGTCACTCATTTCTAACTCGGGGATTTCCAGACTACCCTGGCCAGGACATCCCCTTTTTAACCATCACATTCAGCAAGGACTGTTATATGAGAGAAATATAGCCATTATAATACTCATATTGTTACACCTGGATCAGAGGTGGACAACATCTAGCTAAAGTCAACATTTGCAGTTCTTGGGATCTTCAAAGCAAGAAAGAGGTTGTAGACACATTGGGGGTCTGAGACACATTGATCAATAGAATCATCTGGTGTACACTAATTAATTAAGTTTTGGGTAAATCATTAAGAGTTATAAGCATTCCAGGAACACAGGATAAAAGACAGGGAGAGAATTTAAGGACAAGAGAGGCCAAGAAGAGGACAGGAGAGAGAAAAGGGAGCCAGTGGAGGCTGGGGATGCTTTCTCTGGATCATCTCTAAAGACCAAATTCTAGTGAAGCATTTGAACCTGGTGACAAAAGGCTTGCCATTCTGTCGTTTTTAGGAAACTCTGATTTCCCATATAGAGAATCCCTAGGTTAAAAGCAGTCTCTCTTGCATGACTAGAGAGACAACAGGTTTCCCTTTAGCTTTGTAGCATCCATATTTATAGAGAGAGATTTAACTGTGGGTCATATTCTGCTTAGTTCAGAAGGCAGGTTTGTGTGGGTGTTATATAGGATTTGATTACTTTGTAGCAATCTGGGTTTTTTTTGGTGGGTCAGGACATTGGCATCGGAGACACTTTGTACATAGAGTAACTTTTATGGTGCATTTTGTATTGTGTGTTCTTAGTGTGTGTGCTTGTCATTATTAATAAATATTTGTTGAACTCAGTGTGCATGATTTAATACTCTGTTCGCCAAAGAAAGACAACAAAGAACTCAGGTGCCCCTAGCTATACCAACCATTTGGCATATCTCTAATAATTTGGGGGTTTTGATTATTTAATTATTGATCATCCCGCTTGGTTATTTCTGTAACCAAGCAATAATTGCTGTATCCCGCTATTTGTAACGACAGTAATGCTGGAGTGATAAAAGTAAAAAGCTGTAAAATGGGACTCGATGAATGCAGTCAGATTGCTCCTGTCCAAGTGAGCGGGCTTGTTTCCCGGAATATACTTTCTGGGTTTTCTGGGGGTCCCCTAGAGTGTCTCTGAGGACCCCTGGGGGTCCCAAACCCCTAGTTTGGGAACTATTACATCCTAAATAACACATCAGCAGCAGGCCTGTTAACAGTCCCACAGTGACTGAGGCGTCTTCTGCTTGAAAAACCAAAGGTCTTTCTAATGTGCCCTCCCCCTCTCTCTCCCTCTCTCCCCAGCTGGTGGGGTGGCTGAGCTGGCAAAGAAGTTCCAGAGCAGCCACCCTCTCTACGGCCTGTGCAAGATAGCGGCCCCCGGCGGGGGTCTGCCCCGGATCGTCATGGTCATCTGGGTACGTCCAGCGGGTCGCTGTCCCGTCCCGCTCACAGCTCTCTGATCGCCTGCGCTCCTCCTCTCCCTGTGGGGAGCCTGTTGCGCTGGCGGGGCCAGGGGAACGCGGTGTTGCCTCGCAGTAAGGGGAGAGACTCGTAGGGACTGAGATGGAACAAGTGAAGGTTAATTGCACACGGAGAAGTAGAAGGCAAAGCCACAGCATTTCAGCTGTTAAGCCGTCTTCAGGTGGCAGTGTATGGGCTGAGCCCAGTGTTTACCGAGTCGGACTAATTTCTATAGTAGTTAAAGTAGGGAGCTGCGTCAGCATGCGTAGATTTCAAAGGAACGAGTGAAGGTTTATTCCCTGCTGAAAAGAGAAGAAAAGAAACAACGTTTCAGCTGTGGAGCCTTCTTCTGGTGTGTTGTTTCTAATTGATATATTAGGTACCTATAGCCTGTGTGGGGAATTTGGTGTCAATTGAGATAAAGGGTATTCCAGTACGCGGTGCATTTATTGGTATTGGTATGAGCTGTAAGGATGGATAGGGTGTTTCAGGTGTATTAGTTGGGTTTATACTATGTAGATAAGTTATATCAAGTACAGCAAGTAGGCATAACCGGGCTCCTCTTTGTTGGATAAGGAGAAGACATTGTAGAAGTCAGCCTAGTGTTGAGATTGACTCCCACCTCAGAGCTGCGTGTAACTCCCTCACTTGGAGTTCAGAATGGGTTTCCATGACGACCAGTTGGAATGTTGTGGGGGTTGGAGGTCGCATCTGTAGCCAGTTGGGGGGGCAGAGTCTAGCGTAGCCTAGCGTAGCCCCTTGACCTCTCAGCTCTCCCCCCTTCCTTAAACACTTCCTGTGACGCTCTCTCACTGTCCTCAAATTCAAAGTCAACCGGCTTCAGGGGCACAACCTGTTACTTTCAGTGTTGCCAAAGTAATGACAATCAGAAGACGTTTACAGACATGTCCAACAACCCCCCAAAAAACGTATCGTTGTTATTTGAGATGCGGACTCTCCGTTCCCCAGGCTGTGACAGGAGATCACATACTAGCCTGCAGCTCTCTTGACATTCCTCCCTCCTCCTCTTTTAGGACTGTTAGCTGTTCGAAATCCTGGCAGCTGTGAGAATTCTGGGATTAGATTACTTATTTTGCTTCATAACGATGATTATCTCGGGTGCCACTGTGATACCGCCGTTAGCATTGCTGCCTCGCTAGCGCTGGGGCTGGGGTTCAGTTCCCGGGGTGCTATCTGTGTGGAGTTTGTTTGTGTGGATTTCTGCTGGGTGCTCCAGTTTCCTCCTGCAGTCAAAAATACATTTTGGCAGGTGAATTGGCTTCTGGGACAGCTGGCGTGAGTGGGGGCGTATTCTGGGTCTGTGTGCCCTTTGATGAGCTGGCGTCTCATCCAGGGTGTGTCCTGCCTTGAGACCGTTGCTTGCCAGGATAGTCTCCCGCTTCCCCGCAACCCTGTGTTGGATAAAGTGGTGAGACAATGGATGGAGGGGATGGATGAATGAGTATCTAATACCACAGTAGCCCTGATTGCAGCCATTGCTGGTGGCCCACCCTGACCAGTCTCCCCGACTGCTTTCCAGAGGAGAGGACGGTGTGGCCTGGGAAAGAGGTGCACACTGTAAATCTCCCTCAGACTGGCAGTGCCTGCCAGGCGCACCTTCGCAGCGGTAATGTGATAGAGGCCGGCCGCGGGCGTGGCCTGTTCTCCCTGCAGAGCAGTGTGGGTGCTCTCAGTGTGTGCCAGGGGAACGTTCCAGCCCCGCCTAGGCCTTCCGGCATTCCTCCTGCCCCCCCCCAGCTCCTGGGAGCAGGAGGAACTGTCAATTCAATTCAAGGTGCTTTCTTAGCATGACCGATGGGTACAATCAGTGTTGCCAAAGCAAATAAAATAATGAAATTCACATGAAACCAAACAAAAAATCAAATTAATATAAAATCTACAGACATATTACAGACAGTTACAACAATGACGTAAAATATTGACATTTACTGTAGACAGAAGGAGCATTATTGGGAGACAGACTCACTGTTCCTCAGGCTGTGATAGGAGATCACATACTGGGCTTCTAGTTCCCTCCTCCCTCTCCCAGTAAGAGGGTGCAGGGGGTTCTCTGGAAAGCAGCAGAGCCACTGCCCTGACGCTATCTGCGCCGCGCCCTGTGATTTCACGGCGTGACTGAATGGGGCGGCTCCAATAAACAGAAAGCAAACACTTCAGGTGCTGATGTGTCAGCGGGAGGGAGAACAGCAGATAAAGAGCTCTTCGAGCACACAGGGAAGAGCCCAAGCCCCCGAAGCCAACTGCCAGGGCCGAGCTGCCCGCAGACAGCAGTTCGTCGTGAAGCACGGTGGGAGAGACAGGTGGAAAAGGGCGCCTGAGCCAGACTGGCGCGTGCTGCAGGGGGAGGGCCAGCGAAGCCCAGCAGGGCCTGCGGACGCCAGATCTTTCCTGAAGGGGAACCCGCTGCAGCACTGAGTATAAAGGCAGCAGAACGGGGACACGCCGATACTGCCACCTGGGCTCCTGTCGAGACCGTAAAAGCCCCACTGGTCTCCTGACGGCGGTCGCCTCTGCCCTAGGCAGAGACCCAGCTGTGCCCCTTCAGGTGCCAGCTGAGGAGGGCGAACAGCCTGCCGGGGTGCCAGGGCTGCATGACAGGCACACTCGGCAAGGCCATGTGCCCAGATTGCCTCCTGATCTCCTTTTCTTTATTTTCCAGCTGTGGACCTGTGTCCTTGTTTCACCACTGTTGTGCCATTTCCTAGGATCGCTTTTCTTCGCAACCGCCCACACTGTAATCCAGAACGTGTATGGTCTCTGCCTTTAGGCTGTCATGCATTTCAAATGGCAACGCTCCAAACTGTGTTCGCTGAGTCCCTTCCTCAATGAAAGCCGACATGCCACTGAGAGAAGGCTCTGCAGAGTCTCCTCCTTGAACAACCAAGTCACCCCACAGGCAGCGAGAACAGAAGGGTGGAAGGGGTCAGTAGCTGAGCTGTTGTAAAGGGGCAGGTTGTCTAAATGCACAGGGCATCCTCAGCTGTGTCTGATTCACATATATTAGTGAAGAGAATGTGGTGGGCTTGCGATGTTTGAGTGAATGCCGGCCCTGCTCTCTCCTCCACTGGCAGCATGGGAACATCAGCAGGGACCGAGCCAGAGAAGCCACTTTCCTATAAATCTTCTGCTGAAAGTGTCTGAATGTACTGTCCTGTCAGCTGGTTTGGTCACATTAGTACAGCAAATTGGAATAGGCTGAGCTATATTTAGTGAACAGAAGTAGCTAAATGTTTGGGGTGACCCCGCTGTGACCTCAATGCCCAGGGGACCGGGGTTATTTGAGTCTGGGGGTGTAGGGCTCTCTTTTAACCCAGGTGTGTGGCTGCTTCCGCAGGTCGGGCAGGATGTGCCGGAGCCCCGCAGGTCCGAGTGTGCCAGTCACGTGCCTGCTGTCAAGGCCTTCTTCAAGGTGAGACACCCTGCCTCTTCTTGGGCGCCTCTCCCCCACAGGCGGCCAACAAGCGCCCGGAGCTTGACCGCTGGCCAGCGTGTGACGGCTCAGCTGCCCTGACACATCTGTGATGAAACATGTTCTATGTTCTGCATTGACACATGATCTATGGCCAATGTTAACATACAGTATTATCTGTGATCTATTACACATGTTCTGTATTCTGTATTGTGACACATGATCTATGTTTTACATTGACACATGATCTTTGATCTATCGTGACTCGTGAAGAATGATCAATGACTTATATTGATAGCCAGTGATTTATGACGACCTGTATCGACACGTGATCTGTGATCCATCATAACAAATGATCGATGGTTAATTATCTATGATGACACATTTTCTATTGACACCTGATCAATTATCAGTGATCTATGACAGTACGTTATGATGTATCACTCTCGACGGTTACTGTATACTGTAAACCTTCATAATGTGTTAGTCCAAGAGTCAGGTTTTTTGAGGTCTGGAATGTATTCAACCATACATCTTCTCAATAAGGAGAAAATCCCGAACTCCCCAGCTATAAACCCAATTTTTTTACATCTGTGAAGTTCTGGAAGTTTTGTAGAAGACAGTTGCTGTGTTTTTTTAAGCTATGAAGCATTGAGCCTTCCTTTTCGAAATCGTGATGCATCTTCCTGTGAAGGTATACCTCTGTACCTCTGCTGTTTGCTGCTAACCTTACATGTGTTCTCAGCTTTGCGAATTTACTAGCGGCGTAGCCACCCACCTCTTCAGATTAGTGGGACCCACTGTGGTGAAGGAGGAGTTTTCCAGTGCTACAGTGTGTTGTAAGAGTGGTGCTGGGAATCTTGGTCAAGTCGATAGAGTGGAGCTCTATAGAAGACAGTTGCTAGGTGACAGGGCTGCCATTACCCCCGGACTCGCAGAGACAGGGGATTAAAGCTGCCTTGGCACGGAAAGTAACTAATGTAAACAGAGCGTTAAAGTTTTGTTAAATCGGTGCTGTTGCTTAATTACAGTTTCATGAGGACAAATCAAGACTAATTAGGTTTGGCTACCGGCCTCGGAAAAACTTCGAGGTAGAGCTGCAAAGCATGTGCCCGACCCACACAGTACCTGAAAACGTCCGAGGAAAAAAGTAACGAAACCTGCGTCGTTTCACGAGTCGCTGCTGACTAACTCCTGTAGCTGTCCTTTCTGTTGAAGAGACTCAGCCAAAAAAAGAAAGAGTGAGGAAAATGGAGGAGAGAAAACCAGTAACTGTCGCCATTGTGGTGATGTACTGTATGTGAAAAAGTTACTGTAAATTGTGTGTATTTGAAACCGTACAGGTAAGAGCCCAGGGGTTTACGATTTCGGGAGACTAGACTTGAGAAAGGCAGATGGGAATGGCCTTTGTGGTTTCCGAATATTTGCATCACTGTCTTCTCAGTTCAAGACGAGAAGGGTTCAGTTCCTACAGCCTGTCAGTGTACTACTTTCAGCCCTAGATTACTGGTAAATGTATTCTTTACAGTCCCAAAAGTACTGATTACTCTTCTGTGGACTGATTCAAGAGAAGCAATAGATTCTTGTAACGTGGTGACCGAAATGAACCCTGGGCTATCATGACTGCTGCATCACTGTGCCTAGTCAGATACAATATAATTTCTATAAACTGAAGGTAATGAAAACAGATGAAGCCCTTTACAAGTGGGGAAGGTGTGATTGTGAGACAGGGATGTTTCCTCTGCTCTCTCGCTATATTAGAGCTGTCTCAGCTCTGAAATAGCGATGTTGCCCTCCTATCAGCTGTGTACTCTGTACAGCTTACTGAGAGCAAGGACAGCTTGATGTGCAAGAACCCTTTATTGTTTTTTTCTTTTGCCAATTACTTTGTCATTTTTTCTGATATTTTTAAAACTTTTTTGTTCCCCGTCATTTACAAAAGGTCTTTGAACTCCCTATAGGCAGCAGCGCTCCTTCAGGATCATTTGAATATGTTTGTGTGAGAGACAAGACCGAAGCGCAGCGGATGTGAAATTAAAACTGCAGTTCGTTTCTCGAGAGCCTGTCAGGAGTGGGGTTCAAACCAGTGCCTGCAGAATAAGCAGCAGCACCTTAGACCACTGGACACAAAGCAACTTTCGATTATATTATATACTGTACTTGTGAATTTAAAATGCCAGCATGTGAAATTTTGCATTCTTATTTTATTTCAACACTACCTTTGTCCAAAGCCACGTGCAATTGTATCCTTTTATACTGCTGGGTGGTTCACAGAAGTAGTCAGAGTGAATTACCTCACTCGAGGGGAGACAGCTGTCTCCTCCAGGGTTCTGGATCCACAGCCTTTCAGTGACCAGAACCCTGACCAGTCCTCACAGCTGCATGCTCTCACCTGGCATTGTCAGCACAGGTCATTACAGCACCAGGTCAAGGGAGCTGAGAAAATTGCAAGGAGCTTAGGAAATTATTGCATTAACCAGGTTACACCCCCAACCAGAGGTGCACACTGCCTGCCCTCTGCTCTGTAGGAGGGGACTCAGTAATTAAAAGACACAGTCCCATTCACTTCAGTGTTTGGCTCCTTCATGACAGATTGCGAAAGGGTGTGGGTGAAGCAATATTAAAGTTGTGTTGTTACAAGCAACAGCCTCATTTAAGAAAAACATTCCCAGGGATGCTGTTGGATTTGGCAATGAGCTGCATAGCCCTTCTGAGGTAAAATGATTCAGCGTCTGGGGCTGCAAGGGCTTGCATTGGCGCAGAACCTGCTCACAGGCTTGCTAACCGGCTGTGCTTGTGCGATTTTCCTCGCCTTGGTGCGCTGGCTGAATGCAGAGCCGACAGCAGGTTGACGCGACTGCCCGTTTGTCCCACGCCACCTTCCCTGCAGCCTGGCCTTATCCAGCGCATTCCTGAACGAAACAGTGAAAAGTGAAAGTGTGCTCTACATAACTTCATTCCAGACCTTCTCTCCCGGCTCCCAGCAGGGCCTGTCAGTCCCTCCTGATTCAGGGCTGAATGCAGAATATTCAACACAGACCTCCAGACTGGAAACCTGTGAAAACATTTACAGTGTGACTATTAATAATCCAGAGTTTGTTAGGGAAACATGCCCATTGGAGAGTGCAGAGGTGACTGCTTAGCAAGACAGATGGTTCTCTATGATACATTAGGCCAGCAGTGTGCACCCCTGTTCCTGAAGGGACGGCGTGCTTGCAGGCTTCCTAGGTTTCTGTCGGGGTTTGATTCTAGCCTCAGGCATCTGTCTGTGAGGAGTCTGCATGTTGGTGTGTGTTTTCTTTGCCTGCGGGAGGAAACTTTCCTTCAAGGTTTTGCATCCTGGTTCCCATTAGCCAGCCAGTGTTGGGAGGATAAATTTTCTCTCTCTCAAGGTGTGTGAGAGTCTGTCTCTCAAGGTCTGTGAGTGGAATGCTCTGCATGTCAGATTTCACACTTGAGCCATGAGCACATTCAGGACGCAGTATTTAAGAAAGAGCAACATAACTGTGAGTAGTTCCCACTTCTGTAAATGTGTCTACAAATCTGATTTATTTAATTTCCCATGGTTTTACTTTATCAAGTTTCTGTACTCAAGAGTCACGTAGTGACTGTGCACATGTCTGCACTGCCCTCTTCTGGTTGGACCTGAGATGAGCAGATCTGCATGGCCAGGAATTTGATTTGAGGTGTCTTTCAGGCCTGAGCCAGGAGAGTCAAGCCCTGACGTGCATGCGATTCAGACCGGCTTCATTGCCGATAAACATTTAGATGGTTGCTCAACACTCCAGCAAGTGAAATGAAGGCAGTGAAAGCTTCTGTTGCATTTTGCACCGTCTTGAGCGAGAGAATCGCATAACAGAGCAGACACAAACACCAGTGTCTGGTAGCTCGCCTGGCGTGGATGCAGCCTGTGGGCTTGACAGAGACGGTCCCATATGGGGCTGATAGATACTGTATATGCAGAGCTTGGTCTTTGTGTAGGGAGTAGTGGATGGTTTGACCATGTTAATGCTACATTTTTTTTTTCTTTTCACTTGAAATGGAATGCCACTGTCCCTGAAACAGAGACTTACGGTAACCTAGAAGACAAAAAATCTCGATACAGTACAGCTTTTACTTTAAGGAGTTTATTTTAGGCAACTGGAATCACAGAATGTCAACATTCCCCTTGTTAAACACAATCAGCAGCAAAATCCTTTGGTCCTTGAATATCCTTAAAAAGAAGCACCAGGAAAGAAGAGCAGACGGAAAACTGTCTCAAGGTTGTTTTGTTTTTTTGGAGTAGGCAACACTGCACGCCCAAGCTAATATGGCAGAGCTGTATAAAATGAGTGTGCACTGGAGTGGGTGGAGACAGAGGATCTGAGGGCCTGGCGAGTTGGTCATCCCTGATCCCGTGCCACTGTTGGCCAGAGCAGCAGAGCAACATTTCACTCTGGGCTTGTAGTGCCCGGCCTCCCTGTGGTCACGATCGCAAACCCCTCCTCCTCAGGGCGCTCCAGCCCTTCCTTGTCTGTTGTTCATCTGCCGCACCTGCTCCCTGTTCCAGCCCCTTTTCAGTTCTCCTTAAAAGCCAGACGCTGACGCTATTCCGGGCATCATGCGAGCCCGGGACCTGGATGCCCCTGGCCTCATTATGGTTTTAAGTTTCTGCTCCCGTTTCCCCTGCTGGTCCCGACCCGGTTCTGGTTTTTAATCGTCTGTCTCAGATGGATCGCCTGGCCTTGGACTTTTGCCCTGTTTTTGGATTCCTCTTTGAACTCGTCCCTGGATCGTTTGCCTCGGTCACACCTCCCCCGACCACCAGCACACCATGGACACGCCCCCCCTGTTTTCATCCCTGTCTCCTGCATGCCTTTTTTCCCAGCGTTTCCTCACTCCACCCTGGATTGTGTCGTCTGCACAGGGTCCGGAAAGAACTCTCCCTGACAGCTGTCGGTTATATTGGTGAAGCAATGTCTCCTTCCATCCTTTCATTCAGCATTTTCTCACTGCAAGCAACGGGTGCTAGGCAGGACACACCCTGGACAGGACGCCAGTCCATCGCAGGGCTCACACACACTCACTCCAGGGCCAGTTGTCCTACCACTTGGTTGTCCTACCAAGCACCTGGGGGAAGCCCATGTTTTGGAGTCTTCAGGATACAAATACAGATAGGAAGAAGGAATGATAATTGTGATTCATTAATCTTATCAATGGACATACATCAGGGGCTACAGTCAGCAGTGTAACAATACCAATGACCAATAGGCAGGTCGAGTAAGCAGAGGTGCTGCTTGGTGAACATTCCCAGGGAAAGTGGAGGCACAGCTGTTCAGTCTCTCTTTCCTCTGTGTGCCTCCGTGTCGCTCTCCTCTCTGAATCCCCCTCTCTGTGTCTCGCAGGAAGCTCACGTCTTCATCAGCGCCACTGGCCCGGAGGAGGTGACAGAGGAGTCCATCGATGCCGTCATCGGTAAAATAGCGCCCCCGGTGGACCGGGTGAGGAGAGTGCCACGCCCTGCAGGCTCCGAGGAGACAGTGGTGAGATGCCCGTCTGAGGTCCTCCACATCCCACTCTGCCACAGGGGGCGCTGTGCAGCAGCACGTTTCTTCATTTCAAGCCAGACGTGTCTTTATTCGTGAGCTGTACCCTGCGTAGACCATGGCTTTCAGTTTTACAACACAACACAATACAAAATGCAGATTCCCAAAACTAGTCTTACATTTCAGGCCAAGATTGTTTTCCTACATATCAGTATCAAGGCTTCATTCCGGTTATGATAATGCACAAGGAACCTTTGGGATGTTAAAATGTCAAAACAGAAGTAAAGTGCTTGTTTGTAATTGGAGTGTATCACACTGGTTTAAGGAGAGTTTCTCTCCTCCTGTCTAGGAACCTTGATTTCTCTCTTTTGATCCACAAAAGGACACTCCACCTTTCCAATTATCTGTCTCTCGCTGCTCATTTCCCCCAGTAGCCAGTGCTCTGCCTGCATTTCTGTCCCAGTTCTCTTATTCCTCCTCCTTTGGACTCCAAACAGGTCCGGTAGCTCAGGGGACCCCCATCCTGGTCCTGGACAGCCAGTGTGTCTGTAGGGTTTGGGCATGATCTCACTTAAATCACCTCCTCATTGGCTTCATCTAACCAGTCCAGCAACTTCTCCCAGCTCACGCAACAGGTTTGAAGAGATTTGGAAAACCTGCAGACACACCAGCCCCTCCAAGACCGGGACTGGGGACCCCAGCTGTAGCTCAGTGAAGTTTATTGTTCCTGCCCAAACCAGTGACGTCTCCTGAATCTCAAACTGCATGACAGTACCTGAGCTGTTAGCAGATATGACCTGGAGGACAGCATGGTATAGACACGAGGTTCACTGTGCACTCAAGCAATACTCTTGTGATTCCTCCACATGGCTGTCGGTGGTCCTGCCCCCCTCCTCCCATGGTCCAGGGCACAAACTACAGGAAGACGAACGCGGCCATGGAGATGAGACGGATCAACAGGGATTCGTTCTGGGCACGTGCAGAGGTGAGTTTCCACACAAACTGTCCGGCTTCTGCTGGTGCCCAGTGGGATAGACCAGGTCATGAAAAGCCCTTCTATACCAACATCAGAAGCCCAGAAGTAAGAATGCAAGCCCAGCTACAGACCACAGGAGCCATCCAGCCCAGCTGGCCTGGGCCCAGGTGGAAGTTAGTAGATAGTTGATCCAAGGATCTCAACCAGCTGTTTCTTGAATGAAGCCCCAGGGTATCAGCCTCAGCAGCATGACTGGGTAGCTCGTTCCAGACTCCCGCAACCCTTTGTGTAAAGAAGTAGCTCTTTCCGTTTCACCTGTTTCCAAGTAATGACCCAACAGCACAAAATATCATGCAAAACAGCTTGTATGCAGGAATACTATTAGAAAATCTGTCAGTTGAGGCATTTGTTTTGTGGATGTTAACTCACAACAACAGCAGAGGTCCCGCGGTCCGTCGGTGGGCAGTGGCTGTTAGTTTATTGATACGTGAGCTCTGTGAGTGCTGTATCAGACCCGCCCAGAGCAGGACCGACATGGTATCAGACACGCAAATACAGAGAAACTCTTATCAGACTTGCACACAGTGGGAATGGCAGTATAGCCAACACCCCCACAGAGGGAGCAACACCACGACTGAGACGCGCCCACAGTGAGTGTTACTGTTCCTGCGGCTGAGGTCCAGGTGGGCACAGGTGGGGACGTGGGCAGTTCGGAAACCCAGGATGTGGCACAGAGTTGATGCTGATGAGAAAATCCCACTTGACCTTTTAAGAGCTGAGAGCAGATTTACAGATACGCCTGGAAGCAGGAAACCGAACTGAACTAGAAATGTAGCAGCAGGGGCTGAAAGCAGGAGGGTCTGTCCGGCGTCTGTCCAGCGTCTGTCCGGCGTCTGTCTGGCGTCTGTCCGGCGTCTGTCCAGCGTCCGCGGCCGTAACCCCCCTCCCTCTCTGCCCCCAGCGGGAGGAGGAGCAACGCAAGGAGGAGGAGCGCCGGCGGGTCGCGGAGGAGCGCCGGCGCTGGGAGAGGGAGAGGGTGCTGCAGGAGAGGCGCGAGGCCGAGGAGAGGGAGAGGAAGCTGAGCGAGAAGGAGCAGCTCATCCTGGAGCAGAGGTGGGAGGCGCACCGCGGTCCCCCAGCCCCCCCCCGAGACGGCGCTGGGTCTCTCTCAGTGGCCACAAGGCCACCCTTCCCCAGGCCCTGCAGTTTCTAACACACTGGCTCCCTCTTGTGATGGTCTAGTCACACTGCAGCTGTACAAGCTGGAAAAGAACTCCTCACAAAGGACCTTAGGAGGCTCTGTATAGAGAGAAGATCACTGGTCATGTACAAATTCTTGTATGTGGAATTTGTCTTTTCACATACCCCAGCTTGCTCCCCATGTGACACACAGACATGGAGAGAAGCTGGGGGTCAGAGCGCAGGGTCGGCCATTTATACGGCGTCCCTGGAGCAGTTGGGGTGAAGGGCCTTGCTCAGGGGCCCAATGGAGAAGGATACGAACCAGCAACCTTCCGGCCACAGGCTCAGATCCTTAGCCAGAGAGCCACCACACCGCCCTCAAATACACCCCACCCACTGTATGATACAAATCGGTGAGCTTCAACAAGTAGGGCTATGCTGGTTTACAGCCTAGGGGCTGCCAGAAACTAATGTAAAACTTTTCTCCACAAGAAAGGACAAACTGCAGAGGCTGTGTAGAAAATCAACACTCTGGCCCCGAGGCTCGGTTCGGCTTCATTCTTGCTCTGGTAGACCTGCAGCTCTGATGTAGATCAAGTGGCACGCTGTTCTGCTTTTTCATTGCTGAGTCTTTGTTCGTTTTTTAGTACTTGCTTCTGGGAAGTGTTTCTTGCTTTGTGACCGTGCTCTGCTGGAGCGTCCCTTGTTCACTGCCTGTCTCTGTGGCTCTGTGCCCCCCAGGAGAATGCAGGCTCTCCAGGAGGCGGAGGCTCGCAAGCTGGAGAAGGCCAAGTGGGTGAGTGAGCGTGCCTGGGCAGGCGGGAGTGTGTCTCCGAGTGAGAGGGGAGAGAGGCAGCTGCAGTACTGTACAAACAAACACACACCCCCTCCATGGACAAACCTTATTCGTGCCTCAACAGCTGGTCCCAAGGTGGAAACTGGTGAACCAAAAATGAAATTCCCATGATTTTATATGCAAAACCTTCCGATTCATTTCTGAGAGTTAGAAATTCTCTCAGCATTCCTTGGTTGTACCCTAATAGAGCCCTGATTAGCCGAAGTCCAGTGTTAATCAGCATCATTGTTGCTGATTATGACAGCGTATGACTCTATTTACCCCAGGTATGTAAATAGATGAACACTTTCAGTTCAGTAGATGAACAGACTAAATGAAATGTGTACGAGTTCTAAAAACACTGATGATTTCGTGACCTGTTTGGTGGGCGGTCTGGATGAAAAATGGGTAGGAATATGCACGCTGTTATAGTTGTATAGCGAAGATTTGTAAACCCGGTCTCTGTGAATGGAGGGGTTGGGTGAGTACTGCGGTTGTGTGTAATGCGCAGTTCCCCGTGTGTCCTGTAGGAGGCGCAGCAGAGGGAGCACGAGGAGGAGATGAGGGTCCGTTTTCGCCGCAGTGAGTCCATAGAGAAGGCAGCGGTGAGTTCCCCTCTCGACTCACGTCGTGCCCATGGCCGAGACTTTCTCTGTACTGTGTTCACGTGTGTTTATTCCAGGCAAAACAGGTATATACAGTAGGCAGAGATGCTTCCCTTTGATTTCATGCTGACATTTCTTTCCAAAAATCACCAGTGCATTGATCTATTCATATAATGAGTTGGCCGGCAAAAATTACAGGCAAATCAGTATCAATAATAACAAACAATTCATGATTAATGAGTAATAAGGGCAATCAAGAGACATTAGGTATTGTTGTTGTTATTATTATTATTGTTTCTTAATTTGTACATGTTCACCACTGGGAGTTAGCCCTTACCACTACCTCAGCACTTCAAGCAAGCAGTATGGCAACATGGTAATTCAGAACAGTTTTTAACCTCTATAGGAAGGGCCTAATGAGAGGCCGGTACAGCTAGCTAATCTGTCACAGATCTATAACTATGAAGGTAATTTAAAAATAATAGGATGTGGTTTTTGGTTGTTTTTGTGAATGCCCCGCAAGGTGACATCTCCAGTGCCGCTTGTTAAGAGATCACACCTCCACAGGAAGTGAAGTAGTGAAGACTGTCTTGATATGTGACCGCAGATCTGTGAAGGTCACGGAGAGGTCAGGCCTGGTCGCTATAGTGACATGATCATACATTCTATACACTCATACACTCGGCAGTGCAATGCAGATTGGTGTCCATACTGTAGGAGACATACTGAGCCTGTCCAGGAGTGCAGATTGGTGT